TTAGAAAAGTTGTGTGTATATTGCTCTTTTGAATTCAATTATAAAATAAATAAATATTAAAATCTATAAAATTTATACATTTTAAAGAGCCAAATAAAATAATTTAGCATATAATTGTATAAAATTTTATTTTAATGATATATATATATATATATATATATGTGTTTTTTACCATAAAATGTATAATAGATTTATTTCAAGGCTAGATATTTTAATATTAAAGTATACCATATAGTAAAAATCGTCATTTTGCCAATTTTGCACTAACATTTTATATGCTGTGATAAAACATCAATAAATGTCTAAAAATTTATTAAAAATGAGTTGTAAAATTTTAAGATATATATTTTTAAATTATAAAATATAGGAGCCTTTAGGCTTTAGCTGGTATATATATTGAAATACACAAAAATTGAAAGATTTTGTACTATATTTGGATTTTTTGATCTAAAATTGTATGTAATAATTACTTAAATAATAATAATAATAATTAGCCGTTATATATATATATATATATATATATATTGAATGTCACTTCCATAGTGCGTAGATTGATGTTCATCCTTTCTTGTACAAAGACAACAATGTTTGACTTGTATATAAATACTCATCTACTTTTTTTCTCCATACTATATACACGTGGGATGTTGCATTAGGATTATATGGTGTTGCTTTAACAACTCCTTATATTTATTATAAGCTTTTAATTTTTAAATGATATGTAGGATAATTGTATTATTATTAGTATATATTGATGTAAGATTATTTTTATTTGCTACAGAAAATACATAAGTTTTCCCTCAAAATATCAATTAAGGATGAGGACTTTTACTTCAAAGTTTTCAAAAAATATAAATTTACATTATATCTTACTTTTTATGATGGTTATATGTGTGTATATATAAATATATATATATATATATATACATTGAATATTAAATAATCTTAAAAAATCATTCAAAACTTCACAAAAAACTAAGCAGTTCAGAAACACATCAAATTCAAGAAATATAAAAATTATTCTAAAATATTTGAAACAAAAAGACTATTGAACAATACACCTTATAATAGGACATAAGTTGAAGGTGTACAAGAACCTCTATATATGGTATCATCCGAAAGATTAAATGAATAACTATTAACTGAGAAGAAAAAACTAAAATAAATTTATTTTTTTATATTTAATAACATATTAGAATAAATAATTGAATAAGACGTTATTAAACTCATATTTACTCTAAAACAAAACAATAAGAAATATTTTATGTGTTTTGATAATTTAATAATTAACATGCATATACCCAAGTGAAGGATGTAACTAAACAGTTATTTTGGTGTAATTATCTGCTGATGTGACAAGCTTAAAAAGTATCCAAATTAATGTTTTGTAGTTAGAATTTTTCAGTAGAAAAATCTCATGGATCTACAACAATGGTTACATCTCCAACTCAAAGATCAATGGCTGTCTTAACAGTAATGTTTGCACACTTAAACAGAAGTAATCTGAAAGACTGTAAATTTTGTTGTGCCTCACAATTGGTAGGATGGTAACACCATTAAAGCTGATTTAGCCAAATATTATAAAAATTCCTTGCAACAAGCTTTGAATACACTTAACAGTTCATCTTCAAATCTAGTCGGTGGGTTGTACAAAAATTTCAAAAATCTCATAAATAAATAAATATTAATATATATATATATATATATTCTACAACAGTTTGGTCATTGAAGCAATCAAATAAATATGCAAGTAAATAAGATCAAACAAATGTGAAATCTACAAATTGACACATTAGTCCTTTGGGGATCAAACCCCAGTTGGTTTCATTAAATGATGTGCACTGCTGACACAATAAGCAACAAAAAGGACCACAAATGGACAAGTGATGGTCACCATCTCTCCATCTGGATTGAAGTGCATCTGCACCAAACCCTAATATCCTCTCCGTGCACCATATTCCAAAACAATAAAAATTGGATTTTCTTACAACACTTTATACTGAAGTAAGTAAAGCAAAAGAGATATTTGATGGTGTTTCCATTGTTGGGGAAAAAAAGAAGTCATTCCTTTGGGAAAAAAAATAAATTGAGATTTGTGAGATGTTGATTTGATCCTACCATTCATGGATGTCAATCCAAAGGTGACAAGCGTACTAATGTTTGAAGAGAAGTGGCTATATGAAGACCCTTTTTCATTAATATTGGGCCCCATTCAAAATGATATTTGGTTGTGTTACAATGACAAGGACTTAAAATTGAATGCCTTTGAGATGATAGGGATGGATTAAAAAAAATTGCTGATTAAATGCACTCCACAAAAACTCCTCATTATAGGTCATTTAGATTTTATGTAATGATTACTTTAATAACAACACAAAACTACTGAAAAATATTTTGATAGTTTTAAAATGTTGTTTGCTTGTTCAGGAAATTTTATAAACTACAATGATCTATTTAGACTTCTCCATTGTGAGTGAAATGCACAAACTACCAAATGGACCTTTGTTCTGACAAATAAATGTACATATATATATATATATATAGTTACTTCATTTGGTTTGGAGATTGAAGTAAGGACCTAAAGCTGTTTGCTATTTAACCTTTCGTATGAACATGCCTTATTCTCTCAACATGAATGTATGTGTATACAATCTATGATCTGTGATATTAATCCTTCAACTTGTTTTTGTTTATTTTTTATATTATGATACTAACATCAAGTACAGTAACAATAACAATATTCATTATGCTGTGTGTGTGTGTGTGTATTTATTTATTTATTTATTTATTTTTCCTTCAAACTTTTCTTGGATATAAATATAAATATTTATGAAACCAAACACATTAAATGTTACTCTTTTTTATTTTATTTTTAAATTTTAAATGTTGTGATTGGCTGAGAATTATATTATTTCATATGTATAAATATTTCATTTTCATTATATGCACACATATCTCTCTCTCTCTCCTCTCTCTCTCTCTCTCTACATATACATATATATATATATATATATATACATATATATATATTTTTGAAAACTTCTACACCATGATTTAAAATGATTTCTTTTTGAATGACCTGAAAACTTCTGTAAATTGAATTTTGATGCTTTGATTTTATTTTGTGAGTTACATAATAATCTTAGAAGGGCATTTATATTATTCATGCATATGCTGCTTGAAGTTTGATTTTGACGCTCAAGTATTGCACCTAAAAAACTACAAGTTTTGCACAGAAACATTGTAGTGCAAAAAATAAAATTACTATTTTTTTCTTTTATTTATTTGTTTTCTTGTTTATTTATTTAAATTTCTTATCTTCAGAGAGCGTTTAAATATTTTCTTTATTTTTTTTCTATCTATTTATATTTTTATAAATGGTTGTAGATGTGTTTGACACTTGGTGTTGTACTAAAATAAAACAAAACCTTTTGATAAATTGAAATTATGATGTCATTGAATAAACATGTAAGTAGGTGATTAAATCTACAATGAAACAGAGCCATTGAAAATCCTCAAGAATATAAAATAAACCATTTTTAATCTTAAGTAAGATAATTAGCAATATTTATAATGTGGTGTTTGATATGTTGGAACAATATAATTTGAAACAAATTTCATATAAGTATGCTATGTATAAGTTCCAATTTAATTTTAAATGCTAAAATTTGAAGAAAGACAACAATTACCAATCTAACACAATTTATGTTTTTCATTTTATTTTTTTAGTATATTAATTGAATTATAATTTCCTCACTTCTGTATCAGTCACTAGACATTTTACTTAGGATATGTAATAAAATTTATGGAAGATATTTTATTCATTTATTTTATTTTATTATTATTTTAAACTAAAATTAAAACACACTTGTTAAATATTTAATAAATCATAAAACATAGTTTTTCAATAAAATATATACATATATGTCATGCTTAAATTATCTTTAAAAACTACCATAGCTTGTTAAATATATTATTGTGTTCACTGATTACTTTCAATCATAGATAAAATACTTCTTTAATTTTATAGTATTAGACAAATTATTATTAACATATCAAGAATTTGAACTTGTTACTTTTTAAAATGATAATTTTTGTAGTTTCTCCTGCTGTATCTTATGAAATAATATGTATGTATATATATTCACATTATTTATAATAAATACTTATTATTTTGTTATAAATTTAAAATTTAAAATACTAAACCTATTTTAAAAGTACAAAGTATAGTTAGAACAAAAAAAATATAATGAATTATTTTTAAGGATGTCAATATGCTACTAATCAAATCATTTTAAAAAATTGTAATGTTTGAAGTGAGACTTGTTTTATTAAAATGTCACATATTTTTGTAGCAACAAAGAACAACAAAAACAAAACCTGATTCATCCACTATCCTCTTGTTTGAGACTTCTTTCTCCTTTAGTTAAATTTGTTATGTGGCTATATAGTGTTCAACTCACAAAAAAATTACAAGGGATGTCTCCAAACTCTAAAGCAGAACATACCCCCCCCCCCCCCCCCCCCACTAAAATAAGAATAAAATAAAAATTCACAACAACCAAATAATACAAAATTCAGGGAAATAATCTCTAATGAGAAGATTTACGCAAAACTCACAACAACTATTTTCATATTCAACAAGAAAAAGTCCCTCTAGTCCCAAACAATAATAATCACAAATACAGTGAAATTAAAGGGAAAATTAATTTTCGACATGGTCAAGAGGGGAAAAATCATCACTATTACCACATAAAACCGTGGCCGTGGCCCTCGTGTCATTAGTTCTAATTTTTCATTCACTTTATCCAACTTACAACGTACGACCAATAAAAACCAGACACGTGGTAAATAACTCCACGTGGACCTCCGCAGCTGCATCGAAGCTTCGCCGTCAAGATGCATCGAAAACTTCGACGACTCTGGAGTTTGGGGCGGGCGAACGTTCAACGATCGATCCGAACCCAAAAAAATACGAGCACCAGAACGGGGAATTCGAGAGGGCTCTGGTAGCAGGAAGAAAACCCAACAAATACCTCGAATCTCAAGACGCGGAAGGAGCGTATTGCCGTGATTATTCCTACCTGAAGACGAGTCGTAGAGAGCTGCTGGCTATGCATTTACCATCGATTGAATCCAAAGAGGACGGGATCCGTGGCCTCTTGCTCTCTCCGCGTCCGAATTCCGACGCAGAGTGATGAAATTGAGCGTAGCGGGGGCACGCCTTTGCCTAGTCTCGGCTCGCGTTTTTGTGGTCGCCTCGGCAGTAGGGCCAAGGAGTTATTCATGTTGTTATTCTCCCTCTCATGGAGATGCAGCTTGTAGCTTCGTACGATAAAAAAGCGTGTCGATCTTTTTACAGGTTTGGTGGAACGCTGGCGAGAGAGCGAGAGCGAAAGAAAGAGAGGTGACTGGCAAGTGGTTGATGATCATTCATTGCACCTGGGGTTTGTTGGAGGTGGAGGAGACCGGGACTGTGGTGCTGTGACTGTTGGAGTAGGCCGCAGATCGAAGACGAATTTTGCGATGGCGTAGAATATAAATGACCCGCTTTCCGATCTGATGGTGATTCCCTGTGATGCAATTCGTTTGAATCCTCGTCCTCCTCCCCCTCTCCGTCCTCCTCCTCCTCCGCCGCAATCTGTGTTTGTCGGCGTTGCGAAGGACCTTTGGCTTGTGGTGTATGGAATAGTCTCTCGTCCGGATGCGGGTTGCAATTTTCGGCGATCGTGCTCACGAGCTGTCTCGATGGGGATTGTTGCTCTCAATTAAAGGCGCATGCGATCGCCGAAGTTAGCTCGCTGTTGAGCAGTTTGGACATTTAGGGGGAGAGTTTTGATGCTTGCCTGACCTTTCGGAGTCCTTCTCACCTTTCTTGCAATACCAAAGCCTGATTCCTCTCCATTCCTAGCGTAGGCTTTGTGCTGCATTTCATGGTAATGAAATGTTTGTACCCCAATTCAAGTTTCAATTTCCATGGGGACGAAAGCGCTGTGTCTACAACCTTTTGATTCGTATTTTTGTGACCTGCATTTAATATTTCCATTCGATTAGCCTGTCTACTACCAACAATGCTTTCTGTACAAGTAAAATTTTCGTTTTGATTCCATGACCTTCACTTGCATTTTTATTTTATTTTGATAGTTTGTTATTTTTTGAGGAACGAGGAATCGGCTGGAAAAGGGTCTAATGTTGCCGTAGATAGCCAGGCCCAACGTGGTTTCAGTGCGTTTGCACGTTATCCGTAAATATCCATGAATGCCACTGGCGTGATATCTTCAGTTTTCGTATCGGCGCAGCGAAATTACTGTCTATATTTTACTGTCTTCACCTTATTTATCTCCTCAGAGCTGCACGGAGGGCGCTCTTTGTGAAGAAATTTGTGACTTGGAGATCGTAGAATTACATGGTACGAGGTTGTGGATGGGGAGTCTTCCGAAGCTTTTTGCGTCCGCTTGAGACTTTTGACCTTTTTGGCGCAGAGTCTTCCCTACATTCGATGCGCTGCAATGCTGGGAGCTTTCGTGAGAGTTGAAAATCAGTGAAAAAAAGGAGCTCGTCCAATGCACTGGCATGCAAGGATTATCGCTACCAAGTTTGCCCACGACGCAACGACGAGAACGCGAATCGTCAACATTTCAGGGGTTCCCTTTTGCTCCATGGCCTGCGATGTTGGAGTACAAATTGCTATGCGCACACTAGAAGCATGAAGTGCCTGTAAACGAGTATGTAATTCATTTCCTGCTTGCTTGCAGCTCGGTATTTTAGAAGGGAAAAACATGAACGAAGCTGGATTGACGGAATGATCGTGGGAGAATTTTTTTTGTTGAGCTTTTGGTGTCTACGTAGTGCATTCTACGATTTTGCAACAGGGATTAGCATTCCGAGCACCAGTGAGTCCCAAAAATGCTGAAAGAAGTTGTTCGTTCCTCGCTTTCGCATTTTCTTACACCCTTCTGTCAAGAAATTCATATTATAGACTGGCGAGTCTCTTTCCTTGAGTTTGCAGGTTTTACAGTACTTAGATGGAGCGGTAGATGTGGAATTCAACATTAGGTTTATATCCTTCACATGATAGGGCTTGCAGCACGGTCTACGAACCCTCCCAGATTCCAGTCTTGGGGCATATTTTCTACCTTCATGACATGACATATGTCATGCATTTCGGTTTAGTGTGTTTGCTCATGGTGAGTTGTAAGCAAAAGGTGAAAGATCTGAAGAATGCCATCATGCTAGCATGTCAATGCTGTTGGTATATATCCTTCAATCACTCTTGAGGTTCAGCAGAAGTGGGGGTATAGCTAGAATATCTGCATTATTGTTAGATCAGACCGGCGTTGACACACACACACACATACACACAAGTATTTAATACACTTAATAAATATTGAAGTAGTTTAAGTATCTATACGTATGCTTTATTTGTTTATTTATTATTTTCGCCTTCCAAAATTTGAAAGTCAAAGCGTCGTCCATACTTGAATGTCGGAATCCTTCTATTCTAGTCCTTGTTGCAGCTTATTTGAAACATCGTCAAACAGCCGCACGCGAGGAAATCCGAAATCGTGATACCATTTGAAGATGGACCTATTGAACCACAGAATTACTTGACTGTAATGCAAACATGACATGCATCTGGTGCTATCGTGTTACCTAGGGCATACATGATTTTTCTGACTCTGTGCAGTTGGAGGATTGTTCAGACAACTTTGCAACTGAATAGTGGATGAGGCCATCCTTTTTCAGTCTGGAACAGTTTAGAGGAGAGCCAACGTGATTGGAGATTTAAGTGGCAGACGGAATGCCTCTGGTGCGGTACGAAGTGCGCTGCGAGCACAGCTTGGCTAACCCTGACCTCTACCGCACTGTGGATCGATATGATTCCGAGGGGTTGCTCGAGGGGATGGCCATAGGTGGCCTTGTGGGCCTAGTTCGCCAGCTCGGCGACCTTGCTGAGTACGTCTTCTCATTTTCCCTCAATCGCAACTTCATAACCACAGTTACCAGCTTAGTTCCTTGCCAAATTATTTGTGCTGACTGTGGCTAAGTTTAGAGGTTGAGAGCCATAGTCATGCCTCCTTTAGCTCTGATACGTGTGTTTACTAGTGTCCTTAAGGACGAATCTCGGATTCTTACCTCAATATTTTATCTTTAGCTAAGAATGATTCACATGATAAGTGTTTCCTGCGCGGAGTTCAGGCTGTCATGTTGCTATACCTGATCATCTGCAACCTTGATCAGTGGCAAAGTTTTCTTCAATTGGGGTCTTAATTAGATAACGGTAGTGTTTTACGGCATGAACGTCTCTCTTAGCATAAATTCCTATCTGGCACCTGATGTTTTAAACGAATTGTCGCGATGTACCAAATTTCAAAGGCAAGCTTATTAACTGTTGCAGGTTCGCAGCCGAGATATTTCACGGCCTTCACGTCGACGTCATGACAATTGTATCACGAGGAAAAGATTTGAAGGCCCGGGTTGCTCGTCTGGAGGCCGACCTGCCTGCGGTGGAGAAGGCACTGCTTTCGGAAGCTAGTCAATGTCGATTTGCTTACACAGCACGTAGGTTACACCTTTGAGACTTTTTATCTCATATAAATTTTATGCTACATTAGTAGTGGCATTAATGCCCAGCAAGGGTAATTTATTCAATGTCTTATTTGAGCAGGATGGTGATATGGTATGGCAGGATCAAAGTGCCGCTTATCGTTGCCAATGGACCAAAATCTTTGTGCTCAAGGGGAGCTTCCACCTTTTGTTCGAGGTTTCTACGACGACTGTCGAGGTCCACCTCGGCTGTTTCTTCTTGACAAGTACGAGTTTCCTCTTGAGGACGTGTTAGAGTCGCATTGTCTTCCTGCTCTGCGTCAGTAGGTTCCTTTCTCCACACAATATAATTGCTGGGGCTCTGTAACAATCATGCTTTTGGCTTATCAGATTCGATAAAGCTGGACGAGGTGCTTGTGTGAAGAGGTACACAGACCCGACATATTTTAGGATTACCTGGGCCACCGCGCAGCTGGAGAGAGCTGAGCAAGCTGAGCGGGAAAGACTAGCCGAACAAGAAGTGGGCGCTGATTTTTCTTCCTTCCTTAGCATCTTTTTATAAATCTCCATGTTTTTAGACTATGTGCAGGATGCAGCATAGGTGTCCCACTTTAGGTGCTTGGGTTGATATCGTGGTCTTACAAATATCGTTTACTGACCTCTCGTATTTTCAATGTGTATGCCAGAGGAGAAATAGTGAGAACAATCCCTCTAAAAAGGCTGGTCCACTGACTTATCGCAGGTAATGTTTTTGAATGATTTGAGGGCTGTGAGTGCTTTGTTGAAAATGGGGAGAGTTTCCTCCAAGCACGAATTATACATTTTTTATCACAAATTTAGTGGTTGCAATTACTAAGTTCAAAATGTTTCGTAATATGCAAAATTATAGAGAACGGGTACCATCAGTCCAACTCGAGGATCTGGAAGGATTCATACGTGACTCAGACCCCGACCCTCGTTCGGAGCATTTACACCGAGTGGTAAGAATTTCATTCGAGGATGACCTCACCCCGGACAGGCCTCGGCCTCCCGAAGAACCTGAATCTTTGGACGCCACCTTCCGGAACCGGCAAGTGACTGAAATGAACGAAGGTCCTGTATTGGATCCCGTGAAGATAACTGGCAAAGACATCGAGAATGAAAAACTGAGACGTAGGACTCGAGTAGAGTACGATGCTGACGGGGAGCCTTCTGATGAAGAAGAAGAAGAAGAAGAAGAAGAAGAAGCGAAATGCTTCATGGATACGTTGACAACCATGAGCTTCGACGCAGACTCTGAAGCTGACTTTCGAAGTCCGAGGAATGCACGCGGATCGGTAGATTCACGGACATCGGTTGATTCTGAAACTAGCTCACAAACTCGGCTTGCTCTGGTTCCCCAATGGGTGACACCATTAAAAGTACTTGTGTTGAAGGCACATGAGGAAGGTCGTCGTCACACGTCACCGTCTCGAAGATCCGTCGGAGTCAACCAGAAGGGTGATTTTACTCCACTATTAAGACTCGAGAAGCCCGACGTTCCTATTGCAGGCCCTGAACCAGGCCAAGAATCAGAGGCATCTGGTGGAAGTTCTGGTAGCCAGCCTGCAATCGACCATCAGCAAGAGGCCCGTTACGCTGATAAACTTATTGAAAATGAGTTGAATATTACAAGCCATAATGAATTAGAGACCCAGGAAAGCTATGTTAAACTTACTGAGGCCCAGCTCAAGGATTCTTCGAAACTCTCAATGATTACTCAGAGAGCTGCTGAAAAATTCGCCAATGAATCACATGATTCCATATCCCTTCAAGATGTTTTCAGGGCTCTAACAAGAGCGAAAGTCGAAGAGCAAGTTCTTCCCGCAGAGGCTAGAGACCAATCGCCTATGCCGGAAAACGAAGTCTCACATGTCTCAAGACAGGACAACCAATCCATTTTGGAGAATGCCCAGCAAGATGTGTGTGTCCCCAAGAGCCGCCGTCTGTGGGCTAGGAACAATGACTCACAGGTAGCAACGAGTGGCATTTTATTACGGGTCCTGCCCTTGAAGCTCAACGGTGGCGTGTACAATGACGACAAGCTCAGAGCTCGCTTGTTGAATGATGGTGAGCATTCTCAGGAGGAGATTATAAGCCCACGTGCATTAGTTCAGCTTGAAGGAGAGGAGGTCCTTAAACAGGATTCAGAAATTTCCAGCCGAATCGACTGCGAAATGGCATGTAACTCTTCTTCAAATGCCTCGAGTCCCTACACAAATATTTCCTCATCTTCCGTGGTTGAAGATGATGGATGTACGTCGTCAGCAAGTGAATCATCTCCGAAAGGCCCCAATTTTTTTGCTCTCTTGTCACCGCCTGAGTCACCGTCAAGGAATTCTCGAGGCTTGATGGGCTCACATGCCTCCTATAATACGAGCTCCCAATTTGGAAGGGATAGCCCAAAAGCTCCCCCAACTATTCCTTTTCTCTCGCTGTCACCCACAGTGTCAAGGTTCTCGTCATTCAGTTACGAGCCTCCTGTGAGCTTTGTAGACTACTCTCGACCTCCGCCCCAGCTCGTATCACCACCTCTTGAAGATATTAATTTGTCATTACATACGAGTGATGGTCCTGCTGCAAGCTCGTCACAAGCTCCAGATAAGGTGCAGTGGCGCATTTAAGTTTGCGACATGGTTGGCTTTTTTCTGCATTATCATGTCACTCGAATTGTACACGATACTTGGTGTCGAAATCGGACAATTGACCAACATGCTTATCTTGCTGGGTCTGGGATGTGTTTTTTTCCTCTTTAGCAGCTCAAGGATGTCTCTACAAGCAATCCCTCCCTGAATGGTGTTGTTGCGGGTTTGCAAGCTGAAGCGAACAGAAGCCAGGTATACATTTGTGATTTGACCTTCTGTAGTGGACATCTCTTACGTGTCTTATGGGCTGACTTTTGGATGCTAGAGATGCAATCTGTCCCTGACGTTTATTCTGCATGTCATGAGCAGCCTTCTAGGCAGCCAAACTCAGTGGTTAGACCAAGAACGTGGAACGATCGGTCGGAACACAACGTTGCAGCCACTCTGCGTGCAATTCGGCAGGAAAGAATATTTCTCGTAAATTAGTTGCACATTTCAGATGCAGCATAGCAGTGCATTTCTTGCCAAGTATTGTTAAAGCGGAATTTACTTTGGTTAATAGATAAGTTCATTGGCTTGATTTTAGAAGTTCTGAAGTATCGTGAAGTGATTATAACGACTCTAACTGGGATATATTTTCACTGTTGTCTGTTTTATAGGCTGCGGCAGTTCAAAGCGATGATACAGGAAACGAGGACAATAGCAAAGATTCATGACCCAAGTGGGAATTCTCGATTTTCAAAGCCAACAGGGACAGAATGGGGTCTGTCAGCATGAATTATGTGTCTAAATTTAGAATTTACAGCAGGAAGGCGTTGGATTCGGTGTCCTGTTGGGAGGTTGATGTCCCATCCGCAACCTCTCCGCCCATTAGGATAGGGCTGAGGATCCGAAGGTGGGTCCCTTGTGCTTTTGTGTTCGTCTTTGACGTCAACGAAGCTTCATGGCCTTGCTCAACATATTTGTTAAAGCTTCTGTCTTGTTTTGTCGACGTGAGTTGGGCGTCGCTCATGAAAAAAAGAATAGGATGAAAACGAAACTGAAGGTTTTCTGCTCCGAAATGGTGGCGTAATTGTCTTCTTTTTGCTGATAAGTTGTAGATCTTTGAGTTAAAGTGGGAGAATTTTGTTTTACCTCTGAGGTCTTTTTGATTTGATTTGTTTCCATCGTTTGTTTGTAATTTTGATTGTGGTTTAGAATGTGTGAGGTTTGGTAATTGTTTTGATATTCAGGTGTGTAGGATTTGTTATTTGATTTAAATGTTTATTTACTTATGTAGGCATTGAAACTGTTGATATAGTGTTGTTCTTAATAAAAATATGAGTTCAAGAAACTAAAGTTTGTAGGGTCTATAGATTTGGTATTGAGCTTTTTTGTAAGTTTAATTTCATTTCATTTTCAACTTTATGTTGGATCTTTTTCATTCAGACTTTAGAAGAAATACTACATTTTTAGGATTACCTTTTATAAGGTTGAAATTTGTTAATCTTTATGTTATATCAAGATAATTGGAAGTTGAATTTATATTTTATTGTATATATTAACTTAAAACAAGTCAATTTTTTTTTTAAATATGTAAAGTTCAGAATTTTCTAAATTTTTATTGTGTACATGTATATGTGTGATATATAAATATGCATAACATATGAATATATATGTCATAATTGAAAGTTTTATTGGTAAATAATATTTTGGGGATTTTGAAGGATGTGTTTGAATAATAATACAATTCGCTATTTAAATAAACAATGCATCAAAAGACAAGTTTAATCTTTTCGCAATAACTATCTTAGGTAAAATATATACTTTCAAAGCCAAATTTATTGCTACATATGATTGATCATTGGGTATGGCATTGGCATCAATAATAAGGATTAGAAATAAGATAAATATACAATGGCTATGAAATTAGAAGACGATTGTTTATTTTTTGACAAAATGCATGCTTTTTATAATAAGAGGTCAAATTTGACTTTGCTTTGTGAGAAAGACTCCATTGTAGTAATGAATATAATTCCATTGTAAGACTCTACAATAGTATTGGTGAGCAATCTACTAAGGAAATTGCTCAGTTTAAATATGTTGTCCAAAGAATCACTCTCCAAAGATATTTGGAAGGCTTTATTGCAAGACAAATTTTATGAATCAAAAGAGGTGTACAAAGAAGAGTATAATTTTTTGCTCTCTTTTATTCTTCCTATGTCTACATCTATTTCACTAACATTGCTTTTTGTATGAAAACCATAGCTTGACAACATCACCATTATTACTCTAAAAAAGAGTAGTCGCTTATCACAAGTTTTAAGGTCTCAAAGGAAATCTTCAAAGGGTTGCCATACAATGGCCAATGCATTTGCAAAGTCATCATGACAAAAAAATGCGATAATAACAGAGTGCTTTACTCTATTAAAACAAAGAAGTAAAAGAATTGAGATCAAGTTACAAAAAGAACTTGAAATAAAAGAGAGATTTAAAAAAGATAAGATGGATAGATTAAGAAAAGTTAAATGTAAAAGAAGAAAAAATGAAGGTGATTCAAAAATGCAATAGTAAAGACATATCATGGACATACATATTTATTCTAATATTTATCTATATAATTAAATAGAAGTAAGTAAAAGTAGATTTATTTCACAATATTTTCTAGTTATGCTTCCTAGAAGCTTCATAGATACTGGTTTGTTTTTACATGTGTTTGTAGTTGATTGATAAATTAAAAACTTGGTCAACAAATTGACTACATATTGATAGCTTATGGAATAAGTTAACTATATGGTGTACATATAGAAAACTTGCGTTGCAAGTTAAGATATATGTCTTGTAAAGTTAACACATTGTAGAGGACTTTTAGTACATCGCTATGTAGCTCATAGTTAAGAATATATATGGAGATAAGAGTGAAGCCTTCATCATTCTTATTAATGCCTTTTTTAATGTCTCAAGACTTCCTAAGCTTTCTTGTCTTTGGCAATAGCCATTCTAATTTAATATTATATTATCTTTAAATAATTTTTTAGTCTTTTCAAGTGACATTGATATTTTAGTTCTTTGAGGTTCATATTCTTAGTAGTTTGACAAGAGTACTAACTTATTGTTCTTTTTTTGTTTAAGAAATAAATGGATTATCTAACTTCTATTGTTGTATTTTGAAGATTGTAGATTATCCATCTTTAAATAAATTATGTAGTTTTCTAACATTAATTTTTTTTTTCTCCTTAAAAAGAGCACATTATCCTTCTTTGTGGAAATTTTCATTCAATATCAGAGATTGCATATTACCTTCTTTTAATTTGACTTATGGATTTGTTAAGTTATTTGAAATGGAAAGAAAAATCATGGATGCTATACTTAGTGGAAGTAAGAATAGATTTGTAACTATTGCAGATCTTTATAAATGTGTGAATATTCTTAGAGTGGAAATTTTTCATGCATCACCAATGCCAACTATGAAAATACTAATCCTATGCCTATGGAAGAAGTTTAAAATCTATAGTAAGAAGTTGTGCAGTTAAAGGAAGCAAGTAGATTGACTTTACAACCAAATCCAAGAAGTTTTGTTTCTAAAAATACAACAAAGACATGGATTAATAAGCCCAATAAGTTTAATGAAACATGAACAAAATTTTGAGGATTTTTATAAGAAGTAAAGCTCTATCTAAGGTTGCATTGCTTCTAGTACCTAGATAGATTTACTCAAGTTCAATTCATAAGTGCACTTTTAACTAAAAATATTTTTTCTTGATTTATACTATTAATGGAAAAAATCCATGATTCCTTTATGATTTGAATTCATTTCTAAAAGTATTTGCGGTAACATTCAAAGATAATGATTCAAATATAATAGCAAAAATTAAGCTCTTATCTTTATGATTAGGATCATGGTCAACTACCATATATGTTGCTAAATTCCATAACCTTGCTTGCAATGTAGATTGGAATGATAAAGCCTTCATCAATAAATTTGATATGGATTGAAGAATAATATCAAATATTTGTTATTGATAATACAAAAAGCAAAATCTTTGAAACAATTTATTGTTCAAGCCATTGCATACAATAATCAATTATTTAAAAGGTATTAAGAATAAAGACTTTGTTGATGAAGAACTAGTCAAGTGATCATAACAACTTTCAAGTTTTTAAAAACTTATATATCAAGGCCAAAATCAATGCAGATTCATACAATATATTTAAAATCTTTCACTAAGCCTAAAAAAACTTGATGTCATCAAGAGGGTTTATACTTATATTATAGAGAAGCTAAGCACATTGCTTAACATTATCCAAAGAAGCAATGTCAGCACAAAATGGAAAGCACAATTGTCAAAGAAGAGAATGTATCAGAAAATAAGTTTTTCTAGCTACAATAGAGACTATGCAGTAAGAATCATGTGCAATATCTAGTAAAGGTCTTATTTTCTTCCCAAATCCATTATCTTGTTTTACAATAGATGTATGTTTAGGGCCAAAAAATCAAAAAATCTTTATATTATTAGATTTAAGAGCCTCAACTTGTTTTATAGATGAAGCTTTTCTAAAGAAATAAAAATCACTTTTAGTCAAGAAAATTAAATCCGTACATGTAGAAATCATAGATGGTCATTTATTATCTTTTAGAAACATTAATCACGAGATTTTTTCTTTAGATATAGTAATTAAAGATCATAATAGTATAATAATATTTAATGTAATAAGATTACTTCTAATCTAGTTATTCTAAAATTATTGTGGTTAAAAAAATATAACTATCAAATAGATTGGATTTCTTATAATATTATATAAAGAACATAAATTTTAAAAATTCAAATTTCAATATACTCTTTTATCACTCAAAAAGACTAAAAAATTACTCAAAGATGATATAGTATTAAACTAGAATGGTTATTACCAAAGACATTAAGGCTTAGAAAGTCTTAAAACAAGACTAAAGATTAGAAAGACATTGACAATAGTGAAGCAAGCTTCACTCTTGCCTATATATATACTCTTAAATAGAAGCCACATTCCAATATCCTATAAGACCTCCAAAATATGTTAACTTCGCAAGACATATATCTTAACTTGCAAGAAAAGTTTTCTACATATATATCACATAGTTAGCTTATTTTACAAGCTATCAATACATGATTAACTTATTGATCAAGTTTCTAACCTACCAATCAATTAAAAACACATATAAAGTCAAAACAACATTTATAAAGCTTCTAAGAAGCTTTACTAAAAAATATTATGAAATAAATTTACTTTTATCTACTTCTATTTAATCATATACATAAATATCATAGTAAGTATATATGTCCATGACATTATTTCTTCTTTAGGGCATGAATTCTACAAAGAATAATTATCATATATTGAAGAAATTCAAGATGCAACAAATTATATGTCACATATTCTAAACTTTATTCTCTTCATAGATAGTTGATAAGTCCTCCTAGCTATTGAAAGTGTGTCATACCATGGCAAGAAGACCACCTTATTATTTGATTGTAGTTGAAGCCTTCATAACTTCCTTCAAATAAAATATTTATAACACTATTAAGAATTGTTTCAACCTCTAATAAAATCACCAAATATTAGAAGTTTCTTCCAATATTGTGATACCAAATACATAGTATCTTGTCATTTATTTAAGAAAGGACGTGTCATTCTTGAGAATCTTCATCTTAATTGTATTATCTTGAACGTTGTGACAATCGTAATGTCTCATTTGATAAGTTAACAAGTAATAGTTCTTGAGTTGAATCTATTGATTATTGGTTCTCCATTTCCTTTACGTTACAAATATACAAAAGTTATAAATAAGAGTAGAAGATAGAATGGTATGTTTCTTAAATCTTGTTTTCATTTATAGCTAAGATTTGTTATTTTTCATCTTGATTTTGATAGATATTGTTAATAAAAAGCTTTAATCTTCTTTATTGTATTTACAAGATTCTTTATTGGCTCTCATATATTTCTATTAATATCATATCTATACCAATAAATAAGATATTTTAATCTATTTTAGCATCGCCTTGAATCTAAAACTTCTTCCACCTTGAATTCTTGCTTATCATCCACTTCTATAAGAGAAAGTGACATTTTTTTTTTTTTTTTTTTTTTTTGAGATATTAATTTTCTTATATAACTC